TGCATGTCGGACCACAAGAATTACCTGGTTGGTTCTGCTCACTCACAATATCAAGGTGCCTCCAGACCCTTATTCAAGTTATTGTATCGAACTATTCAAACACGCAGAACGTATCGAAACTTACCCCGATGACAACCTTCCAGAAAATAGCCTAGCTGTGCTCTATGACCTAGCGTGGAAGGACCAAGATGAAAGCGCGCTGTTTCACAAGGTGCCTGTGCGACGTGACGAGTGCAGGATGAACATCGAAGTTCCAGAGTACATGACTGTGCTAAAATGGGAACGCAACACAACTTTTCTTGACTTACATGGGGTAACAGGGGTTCTGGTCAGGGGCGCATATTGTCGGATGATGCAGACAATCGAGTCCGGTCTGTGGCCGGAGAGGGAGGCGAATAAGAGTTCAGATACAGCCATGGATGTTGACTCGGATCCACAATACAACCCCTTCAAGACCAATGCGACGTTTTCAAAATCAGAGATTGTGGATGGTATAATAGTGACTGGTGGACCTGGTATTGGTGCGACCATTCACATTACTCTGCCGCATTCCTGTTGGCCATGACTTTAGGTAAGACCCTGTTTATGGTCTATGTTCTTACACTATGCCTCCTTGCTCGTCAACCTGTAGTCTGGCAGGCTGATTCCGATCAGATACTTGTGTTTGACGAGGAAGGAGTCTATTCATCTCCGCTGCACCGTGAGCTGCCATTGTACATGCCAGAGGAGGCCTTCTACCTAGTTGATTGCAATCGGAATTGCCCTTGTCCTAACAGCCTGCTCATGCTCAACCTGGTCAAATTGAAAAAGGGCAAGCTCTTGTATTTTGCATCCCTTCGTTACCAAAACATGGATTTTACCACCAAGAATCCAGTAGAGCTACCACCACTATTTATGGAACAGTGCACTCCAGAAGATCTTGTCTGTTGGTGTGCTGTTTTTGCTTGCTCTTCTGTGTAGGTGATGAATTAATGGGTATTTGGTAGCTGACTGCTATGGGACAAACCGGTCTCAGAAAGGCGGATTGAAGAATATTTAAGCTTTATGGCTGCTCTGCACGGAATGGGTACTCGTATGCCAGAAGATTGGCAGTATTTGAAGGAAGGATCAACAAGACTTTCCCCCTCACCAAACAGGAACTATTTGACGCTCTCGCTCAAATGTCGGCCGCCATGAAAGCGCCCAACATGGAGGAACACGATTCACATGATATATTCTGCATCGAACCACGCCCTACAGATCCGTGGAACTGCACAATAAGGAGACACACTAGACACATATATGATGTGGTCATGCAACGTTTAAGAAGCTCGAGCGGCGAGCCGTTGTGGACCTGTTCAGGATGTTCTGCGGCAATACAAAGTCAAGGGCTTGTGCTGGCTTCATAATTGAAGACTGGATCATTGGCAGACTTCCGCAAGACGGTGAATGGCGCTTGAATACAATGGGGGTATCAACGAGGGAAAAATACTTGCATTGGCGTGATGTTGGGTGTCGTGGTAAGCGTTATTTCCGTGTAGGGTATCATGGCACAGCAACTATGGCAGACGAATGCGTTGATACTCCAAGTTTCGACCCAATCCGTACATTCTCTTGTAATTCTGGTGATGACGGCAAGTTGGAGGCACTATCGAAGGCAGATGGCATTGGCATACCAGTGAAGGCGAATCAACCCACCTATGATTTATTTGTTTGGCGTGCAGAAGAGAAGCGAGCGATCATGGTTCAAGTGACCGTGTTTCCAAGGCACACCGTTGTCAAGAAGGGTCTGAAGCAGCTGAAGGAGGCCGGTGCAAATTATCTCGACCTTATTGTGGTAACGCCTGTGTTAATCACGAAAAAGTCTTAAGTATTATACTTGCTTGTAATCTTGTATATTTTATATATTTTATAAAATTTGTCCAATTACTTATAATCTTCCTGGGGGGTTAAGCAAGGAAAGTACAATGTTAAATAAGCAAGAAAAAATACTTTTAAAACTTGGCAATTTCCAATATAATTTTATAAATTGTCAAGTTATACAAGTGATTATAATATACTTCCTAAATTACAAGGTTCAGACATACTTATTAATTTGTGACAGTATAATATCTGCTTATAATGCTTACAAGTCATTACAAGTGTTTGAATAGCTTTCTTTTGCTTACTATACAATTTTATATCAAATAATTAATTAAACATAATTATATTTAAATTTATAGAATACAAAAATAGGAAATAATACACTATTTCTACAGTCCCAACCCCTACACCACCAGCTGCCTCTGCCTCATTATTCTGTGAGTGGGATTCGTGTTGAAAGGGATGAAACCACATCCTCAGACCGGTTTGATGTAGTCTTCGTCACCACGTTTTGGGTCG